CTTCCAGTTATAAAATAAGTCATGGAGATGAAAAGCATAGCAGGGGGGATATAGTCAATAATACTGTGATTACATTGTATGGTGACATATGGTGACTACACTTATTGTGGTGAGCCTTGAATAATGTATAGAACTGTCAAATCATTATGCTGTGTACATGAAACTAACACACGTCGACTACACTTCAGTAATGAAGAAAAGGTAGAATTTAGACAAAACAAGGCAAACTGTACAGCTCAGAAATGTGTAACTTAGGTCTTAAACTCATTTCCATCTGAATAGAAAGAAAGGATTCTTTATATTCTTTTATAAATACAAGTTGCTTATTACCTCAAGGTTGTGAAGCCAAAACTCTAGAGGTCCAAATGCCTATAGACAGACTGAAAAATGACCTATAAACTTAGGCATTTAAGGGGCACTACTTCCCTGTGTAAAGAGCATGTGGAAGAGAACTTTATGCTTTGGTCACGTGTACCCCCACTGGAGCAGGATACTTGTACAATTGAATCATGAGTCTCCTTCAGTACAGTAATCACAGCAACAACATTTGGGCTAAAAATATGGAACACTGGCATACCTCTTTCAAATATGAGTCATAATAAAAAATTATTTTTATTAGCATCCCGTAGAAAACCACAACATCTCTTTACATATCATTCATTGTAGATATATAAGCCTTTTAAAATATCCCGGTGTAGGACCTTATGTATGAGACATTAAAATTGTGAAATGATAGGTAAAATGACTGCACTGAGTTTACTTCCAAGATTACAAAGATTTATGAGTTTTAGTGGAAGTCCCATTTGAAATAATGAAATTAATACTGAATGCTTCAAAGGCCAAATGTGAAATGAATGAAACATATGATGTATGTTTAGAGTAGCGTTCTGGATATCCTCCTGTCTTTTGTCTACTTCTGCAAATGTTATGTGATCATTGTACCAGGATTCCATCAGGACTTACTGCTGTGTAGAGAAGGAAAGCAGACAACAGTTTCCCAGATTCTCACTTTACATATTTTGACACAACTCCTGTGTGTCAAGTTTATGTATCCCTGACTTTGTTCCAAAAAAGAAAGAAAGAAAGAAAGAAAGAAAGAAAGAAAGAAAGAAAGAAAGAAAACATGAAAGCAACTTATGAAACCACGTAAATTAAGACTCCAAGTAAAATAAGCAATAAATAAGGGTGGGGATTAAAAACAAAGCTAGGAATGATGCCAGAACCTGCACACCACAAAGACCTACACACTTAGTATGGGTGGGTGACGCATTGGCTCCGGTTTTCTATCAGTCACCACAGAATGAGAAACCTGGTTACGGTGTCACAAAACAAATACAGTTGCTCAGAAAAAATTACAGTCTTTTTTTTTTTTTTTTGGTACATAAAGAAAAGAGGTTTTTCTCCAGGGTTTTTATCAAGAGCATACCATATGATTTAATAAACAATGTCTAACAATACTCTTACTATGCACAACAGAGAATCTCATAGCTGATTCTTCTAGAGGTCTTGAATGTTGGTGATGCCATTATACTGAAGATGATCTAAAAAAATATTATGGAGTGGGTTGATCTTATTATCAAGAATTGTGAAGGGTTGAGATTTTACCCTATGTGTAAGCTAACATGCATAGTTCACAAACCCTTGCAGGAGACTCAAGACGCCAGGGTCAAAGACAAAGGACGGTTTATTTACTCACAGAAGTAGCATTAGCCAAACATTCTAGGAGCTCAGATTATCCACAGAGCAGTGCAGAGATACAGGTGATACGTATACATGCCGCAGAAATCGTCAGCTTAGGGAACCTGAATCTTTGATAATAGGATATGAGCATGTGTTTCCTTTGCCCCAGAGGGAGACATTACCTTTTATTACATGGGGCAGTAAACAAACTTCTATCTTCCAAAGCTGTTTGGTATACAAACACCTTTGAAGAGATAGTCTAGAGCCCAGGAAATCAGTATTTTGCTTATACTATACACAGAAACATGAGGGTCCCTTGGAGAATTGTCCCCCAACAATTGTACATTCCAGATCATAGTCAAGCTTTCTCTAGCTTGATCCATTTACACTGTCTGGAGGAATTGATGGATTCTGTTTCATTTGACACTTACTCATCATACTGCATTCTTATTGTATTCTAGGTGCTAGCTACAGTGATAAACAGACAGGCATGGTTCATCCTTTCACAGAACAGAGAGAAAATATAAATATATTTTATGTGCTTTTCAAGAAGTTATTCCTAAATGTCCTCTCAACAAGGTTTTTTTTTTGTAATAGATTTTATTATTTATTTATTTATTTATTTATTTATTTATTTATTTATTTATTTTTAATATATGAAATTTATTGTCAAATTGGTTTCCATACAACACCCAGTGTAGATTTTATTTTTTAGAGCGGCTTTAGGATCACAACAAAATTGAGTAGAATGCACACAGATTTCTCATATACCAACCCACTATGCCCTCGCAAATAGAGATATACTATATATGCTTTGCCTTCTCCTCTACCAACATCCCTTATCAGAGTTTGTTACACATTTGTCACATTTGTCACAACTGATGAATTTACATTGACACATCATTATCATCTGGAGACCATATCTTACATAAGGGTTTATTCTTGGTGTTGTATATTTTATGGTTTTTTAATGTTTGCGTGTTTGTTTATTTTGAGAGAAAGAGAGAGTGCGAACAAGGGAGGAGCAGAGAGAGAGGGAGAGAGAGAATCTCAAGCAGGCTTTGTACTGTCAGTGCAGAGCCTGACGCGGGGCTCGAACTCATGGACTGTGACATCACAACCTGAGCCAAAACCAAGAATCGGGCGCTTAACCAACTGAGCCACCGAGGTGCCCCTATTTTATGGGTTTGAAAAAATGTATGCAAAAAGGTTTTTCATGAATATTGATGACAATTCAGTCTTCTACGATCTCACAAGTAATGGAGCTTCACATTTTTAAACCTACAGATAAATACAAACACAAATGCTGGCAGAGCCATTTGAACCAGCACTTTTGAACCAGCATTCTTTTGTGACAAGTGAGAAGCCTAACGGAGATGCGCAAATTACTCCATAGGCATCACCTTCAATATACTTATTTTCAGAGGGTAATTCTTCCTTAAAAAGGGCTTTAACACTCCTCTGATTACATGACCACATCCCTGAAGTTTTATCTCATATAGCAAGGTATTTAGAGTTCTTCTGGAGTATTTGTGTACCTCCTCTTTGGGTTAGAACTCTGACATGACTGAAAACTTTTTGTTCTTTGCGAAGGTGAATTACCTCCTTTGACATGGTCTGTTTCTTTAGGATGTTCCTCCTCTCTGGTCTGAGGAGACCTCTAATACTTTAACGACTTCACTGAACGCTCATTGTCTTACTAGCTAAGGTAATGCAGCCATCTTTTTTCTGACAAAATAATTGGAGATTGTCCTTTCTTTAATTAGCCCCCAGTCAGTTCCAGACTGCAAATACCGTTTGCTAATGTCGATCAGACTTAGCCTGCGGGCCAAGCAGAGGTTGATTCTTGAATTCCATTACCTAACCCTGGGACCATCCCCTCACACTGTTGGAAGAACCAGCCTTCTTTTCAATATTTCTGCTGTGTTTTTTCCCCCTCTCAGAAAACCTGTCGTTTCCTGCTAGCACAGTGGCCTCACTGGCTTAACTTGATGGCACTGGCATATAGAAGCCAAGACAGCAGTGCCAGCTGGATGAATGTCCAAATTTGAGTTCGAGAGAGCTGCCTATTCAAGTAAAAAATTAGAGATGAAAAAGACCTGTTAAATAACCCAATCCCTTCCGTAGCCAGTGCCAGAGCATTCCTATGGTGAGAGCTTAGACCTGGCTGGCTCCAAATGACTTTAACAATGTGCCTTCTCACGCTTTTTTTGGAAGATGGGGCTGTCTCTTCAATTTTTCTTTTGGTAGCTTTTTTTGACTAGAATTCTATTTGACTAGCATTATTCCACTTCCCACTTAGTGTTTTGGTTCAGCTACAGCAAACCCATGAAATGAGCTATTTTCAAGGAGTCAATATAAATGTATGGCTGACATTTCAAGTGCTTTATTAACTCTGTCATTCCAACAATGTGTGTATATTTGGGGCAGGAGATGTAGAGGGGATAGAGGACATACATGGGCTTTAGTGGTAGACAAGTACAATTAGAACCATAGTCCTTCTTAATTGGAGGATTTATTATGGTCACTATTGTTGTTTTCCATGGCTTTCCTTTATTAAATGTTTTCTGTGTGCCAGGTGCTATGGTTAGTCCTGCCCAAACATCCTGCTAGCAAATTTATGAAATTGGTACTATCATTTCTAGTTTAGAATTTAAAGTTTAACAATTAAGAGTGGGTGGGTGGCTCAGTAGATTGAGCATCTGACTCTTTATTTCAGCTTGGGTCACGATCCCAGGGTCATGGGATCAAGTCTGTGTCAGGCTGTGTGCTGAGTGTGGAACCACACTTGAGATTTTCTCTCTCTCTCTCTCTCTCTCTCTCTCTCCCTCTGCCCCTCTCCCCTGCTCTCTCTCTCTCAAAAAAATTAAATTAAATTAAAATAAAAACAAACAAACAAAAGACTGGAAATTCTAGAGTTAAATTGCCACATTAAAATGCCAGCTCTAGGGGCGCCTGGGTGGCTTGGTCGGTTAAGCGGCCGACTTCGGCTCAGGTCATGATCTCACGGTCCGTGAGTTCGAGCCCCGCGTTGGGCTCTGTGCTGACAGCTCAGAGCCTGGAGCCTGTTTCAGATTCTGTGTCTCCCTCTCTCTCTGCCCCTCCCCTGTTCGTGCTCTGTCTCTCTCTGTCTCAAAAATAAACGTTAAAAAAAATTAATAAAATGCCAGCTCTAATGTAGACAAGCACTATGACCTCAGGCCTTTCTCTTAGTCTCTCGACGCCCTGTTTCTCCATCTGGAAAATGGGGGATGATAATGTCTGCTTGCTAGGTTATTTTGAGGTATAAATGTCTTAATATATGTGAATTGATCGGGTCAATGACTCGCAAGGAGCAAGCCCTTGAATTTATGCAATGTTGATGAGATATAGATGGAGAAATTTGCTCAAAGGCACATAGATCCAAATTTAGACTGCAGTCAGTTCTGTTCCAGAGCCTACCCAAATGATTAACCATTAGAATACACAGGCTCGGTCAGGAGACTAAGCCTTAGTTTTTCTCACTGGTAAATGGGAATAACAGTGTTTCTCCTGTATAACCATTGTGATGGTTAAAATGCAATGATATAGGTAAGGACACTAATCTAGAGTGTGGCCCAGAGCTGGGGATCGATTAGTAATGTGATTTCTCCATTTCTGCATCCATATCTCTAGAATATATGCATGTGTATGTTTCTGTGTGTATATACATTTATATGTACATATGTGTTATGTATAATGAATTGCTATGTAATCACTGACTTACTCTTAATATTTTCTCATAATATTGGAACTTCAGGATGGTTCAAAGTGTACTTTTATGAGTTTACTCCCCTTTAAAAGAAGAATTGGATTGTTTTACCAGATAATTAAAAACAGTTTCCTTCCTAATAAGGTTTTTCTTTTGTTCCAGTGGTTTTGGGCATGCCTTCTCTGGATTTTTAAAAGTAGTTCATCAAATGGTTAAGAATTGCCTAAATACTATTTCTCTCACAAATACAGACTGACCAAAATTTCAAGTTTTTCTCTCACAGAGAGGAGAGACAGTTACAACCTAACAGAGAGAAATGTGATGCTATGTTTTTGCTGTTGTGCCTTCTTTTTTTTTTTTTTTTTTTTTTTTTTTTTTTTTTTTTTTTTTTTTTGGTGTGTGTGGGAAAGGGTGTGATGTCATTTTGTCTCCACCCCCTGTGAGTAAGCCCACAGCACAGCTAAGTGCGGCCGCCCGCCTCTGTCACTGGGAGACAGTCCGCTTAAATGCAGCTTCAGGGCTGCAGGACACCCACCAGCATTACTCCCCGTGCGAGGTGGCAAATGCAACATGCTCTCCAGCTTGGGGTGTCTACTTCTCTGTGGAAGTATTGCACTAGCCCTGGGAAATGCACAGAAATTGCCAAAAGGCAAGTAGCTCTGATGTTTTGTGTTTTAAAAATAATTTTTAAGAGATACTAGTTTTTAAATGTCGATATTAAATGTGATCTACTTTGCCAGGTCGGGGGTAATACAGTTATTCTGTGGAGTCAGAGTTCATATGCATGAAGGAGTTGCTTAAACTTTTACTTCTTTTCCCCTCTGTTATTTGTTTTTCAACTGGATCTCTTGAATGCAAAAAATGAAGACCAACTTCTTATTAGGTTTAACAGACGTTCACAGTAGCTTGAATGCTATGGATTCAAACTACGGTGTTTGTATATTGAATCATATGTGGATGGGTTTTCTAGTCTGTTAAAAAGAGTTGTTTGGTGTTTTCATTCCCCTTCCCAGAGACTAAATGAGTTCTGGCTTTAGGTTTAAAAGAAGCTAATTCTGAAACTTTGAATGGTGTAAACCTCACACGTACTTGCTTGCTAATCTGGGGTTTGAGGGACTCCAGGCAGGTCACACCAAAGTAGGGTCATGTGCTAATTTGTAGACACTTCTCTCCAGGGGAGTTTGGAAGAGGGTTTGATCTGCTGGATGGGACACTCCCCCTTTTCCTGGCTAAATTGCTCTCATTTTAGTGTTGGTCTTTTGTTTATAAATGCCATCAAAAGAAAATGGAAATTTCTAAATTTAGACCCTAAAAACAATCTTTTGAGCCCATCAGCACCAAAAGAAGAGCTTGCCTCTCTCCTATCTTTGAACGTAGACGTTGCATGTACTTTTTTTGTTCCTTTGCAGAGGCGCTTTCTCAGCCAACTCTAGGTCAGGGAAGGCTTTTTATGGCTGCAGACTGTTGTAGTCAGCAGGACTATGAAAAACAGGCTGGAACTTACTATACGGTTATGACGGAAAATATTGGGGGTAATGTCTTGTCCAAAACCTAGGGTCAGAGAGAGAGGGTGTTAGTGTCAGAATGTCCAAAAGATCCTTCCCAGGTCCTCCCTCTGGGTAGTGTGTTCCCAAATCATCCTGTCCCAAGTGAAAACTGTTCTCTCTTCAGTGTGGTAAGTGAAACTTGAATCCAGAATGTGAAGGCTGAAGGGTTGGGCCGTTGATATTTCACAGGGTGATGTAAAAAGCAATAAAAAAGGCTAAGTAAACCTTCTTAACTCTGAACAGATAGATAATTATGCAAAACTAAAAAAATAAAAATAAAAACACATACTGTTAGATCTTTTGCTTCTATCAAGAATGTTGTTCCTTGATCATTGTAAAAACATTTAAGTACATCAATCTTGAGGCAGAAGTATTTAGAATGAATTGTTCTTCCTGCTGAAATATTTAACAAGGACACATCATTTGAGAGAAGTCTGGGGTTTTCTCAGGCTCAATACCTACAGATGGTTTTATTTTATCTCCTATTCATTGTGTAGGGATGATAGCCATAATTTTGTTACTGCAGACTTCGGCAAATTCCAAATGCTTTAATTATCATGTTGCAATCACTGGATACAAATCTCTTGACACAGTTTTCCTTTATTTGTTATAGTTAAAAAAAAAAAAAAAAAAAAAAAAAAAAAAAAAAAAAAAAAAAAAAAAAAAAAAAAGAAATGTTCCCTAAAAGGCCACAAGACTTTTGTCTCTTCCTTGCACTTTAATCTGAAGAATTTTTATCCAGGTTTCCTTTGTAATTTTAAGAAATATCTGTAGTGTTGGTAATTGTTGAGAAATTGTTAAAAGTAATTTTCTTACAAAATAACTGGCACGTCTCCTTGTTTCTTTGCTTATCATAAAAGCCACTGAGGAACTTTCGGTTAGGTGAAGTCACTTTTCTCAAACTGTGTTCAGAAATAGGTGTATTGTCCTCAAAAGGGGGGTTGGGCAGGCATCTGCTCTCCACCAATAACTTAAGGAGCCTTCCTGCTTTGTCTTCTTTTGGGGAGTCACAACAGATGTGAGCATTTCACCCATTCTGAAAATTACTCGGTAAAGGAACCTGCCCAACATCTTTAACCCATTGTTTCTCAAACTCATTTGACTAAAAAAGAGTCCATTTTTCTAGTGAAATAGCTATGATATCTTGATAGGGGCTTGTCTCACACAGGATACATTTGGGGAAATGCTGAGCTAAACAAGAACAAGGTGGGGATAAAAAGGTTTTCTTTTCTTCCTTCCTACTTTAGAGCTAGTTATATGTCATTTGTGATTTAAGAAGAGGATAGAGTTTTGAAGCTAGAGAGGACATTAATGGTTAATTGAGTGGTTCCCAGACCTTTAAATTGATGGGCCAGTAAAAATACATATATATTTTTAACATCAAGGTTCCATTATAGAAGACATACTTGAGGATTTCCAAGAGGAACCAAAATCCCCAGTGTTCATAAAAGCAACCATTTTAACAGATTTATAAAATAAATGAAATTTATACAAATAAGTGTGTTGTTTTTATTTTTCTCTTTTCACCATAAACTAAAGAAAATTTCATCAAAGGTCAATATTTGGGAGCCACTGCCCTAGCTTAATTATTTACTTTACAAATGAAAACACTCAAAGGTGGGAGGGTTTGTGACTTTCCCCCATCCATAACAGGACCAGGACTGGATCCTGGACTTCTGACTTGAAAGGCATGTTCTACCCTGTTTCCTGCCTGGTAAGCAGGCTTCTCTGCTCCAAACCTTAGGAGTTACATTGTGCAGTGTGTGTGAATGCTACCCTTCACTTGAATAAATTTTTTTCCTGTAAATATCATAACCATTATCTTAATATTCACGTTTTCCCAAGAACGTATCCTCTGTACATACACATACACACACACACATTATATACATATATATATATATCTTTCTATATATAAGTGATATATATATATGTGTGTGTATATATGTATATTTATGTATATATATATCTATATATACATATCTATATATAGATATTTTGTAAGATATAGATATGTATATACATATCTATATATAGATATGTATATATAGATATATATAGATATGTATAGTTGGGAATTTATAGGAAAAAGAAATTATTTTTAAAATAAGATACATTTGTTCCTTGTCTTATACCTATTTGCATACTTAGTATGCATACAAGTATGTAACCACATACTTGGTTACAGAAAATAAGATATTGGAAGAGTCCTTCTTATTTTTCAAAAGCTTAAAGTTAAAGACTATTATTAATGGATCTCTTCTCTCTACAACTTAATGAGTATGTGTTTTGGCAAATCGTTTGCCTTTGCTAAGCCCGGTTTTGTCATCTGTAAAAGGGGAATAATGGTAACTATCTCATAGTGTTTTAGGATTAAATGAGACGAGATATCATGTTAAATGGTCATAGAAAAGTGGATCAATATTTTAAAAAATAGGTATACCATAATTTGTGATCTTGTGCCCAAACTGTCAGACAAATTCTTGGAGGGCAGTAAATTTAGGTGGCATGTTTTTGGCAGAAAGGTGGGGCAAGAGAGTTAAGTGTTGCTCTACAGACAATGAGAGAAAACCTCTCCTGTGCTCTAGGCTGACCATGGCCAACCCCAATGGATGTTTGATTGTCAAGGTCAAACATTGCTGTTCTTTATGGAAAGCTGCACCTTTGCCTTAGGATCAGCTTTCTCTGGGGATTGGTAAGGCCTTACAGAGCTTCCTGGAGAGATCCCTTGAGCTTGTTTTTCAGGAAGAGAATTAAACCGTAACATACAGACCCTGAGAAGAATCACCACATTATTTGACACCTCTGAAAGCCCCTGTGCTCCAGCTACCTCTTGGAATCTTTATTCTTGGCACCACAGACCTTTTCTTCCCCTGCTGCATACCAGGCTAGGATAAAAACCACAGACAACAATATGTTGTGAAGGGAGCCAACGAAAGCTTATAATGGGAGCTCTCTGCAGAAACTCCTGTGTATGGAAGATTGTAATCTGCCAGGAGGCAAAGCCTACTATTTCTAGAGAACTCTATCAGTCCTGAGGCACGTGTGAGGAAAATCACAGAGGAACATCCAAGATACTAGTGTAATCAGATAGCCTGAAGGCATAAGGCTCTTGGGTGCGACTCTTGACATGTAGCAGAGGGAAGAGGCAGCTGGCTCTTTGCCTCAGGTTCTTACCTGACATAGTAGATAGAAATCACTGATTCCAAGGGCATAAAACAGGGGCAGATGGTAAAAATAACAATAACTGTCACAGTTATTAATAACTTATAGGTAACATTTTTTGAGCTTATATTGCCTGTGGTAATTTAAGGCTAAATATTTTTAATGTGGAAAATCTCAATTCTCAAAGCTCCCCTATATAGCAGGTATTTTACTATTCCTATTTTACAGAGCATAAAATTGTGCCCAGAGCATTTAAGCGATTTGCCCAAAGTCACACAGACAGAAAGTGGCAAAAGAATATATATATCCTTAATTTCCATGTAATATCAGTTCCCTGCTTTATGTGAAGATATACTAATCTATTTAAGTAACAAATTATATTCCATGTGTATGCAGAGCACTGAGGCTAGGAACACACAGCATGGCACCTGTCTTTAAGGAGCTGACCAGGTAACGGAGGAGACCGGGATATAAAGGGATAATTACAATAGAGTGAGATTATCCTCCACTTTAGGTAAAGCACATGGAGCTTTGAGAACAGCCAGAGGACCCACCCCAGCCAGAAGGGATCAATAATTAGGAGAGGATAAAGTACTTAAGTAGAGGCCTGGAAGACAAATACAAGTTGGTGCAAGGAAGAGGATGGCTGGGAGTTGAGGGGCCTTGGCAACAGAGGAAGCTGCATGGCCAGACCCTAGGAAACCCCCAGGTGCCAGTGCTCAGCTGGTGTTAAAGTACTCAGAGAAGAAGCCGGAACTGGGAAGTCCACATAGGATGCAACTGTGTCTTCCTTGTCTCTATTTGTCCAAGACTCATTGACTCCCCAAGATTGATTACAAAGAGGAAATAGAAGCTTGTCTTTGGAGTGGAGGACTCCTATGTTTTGCTCTGTAAACTTTTCCAGACATTCACCTGGGGTCTGGCTCTCACTTTCCCT